TGCCAATTAAGGGGGGGGGGGGGGGGGGAGCTGTGCCGGCGAGGCGAGGGGTTTCGGGGGATCCCGGGGGATCCCAGGGGATCCCGGTACCTTTGAAGCAGGTGATGAAGTTCTTGACTTTGGTGTCATCCAGGAAAAGCTGCGGGAAAAAAAAACGGGGGGAAAAATGCCTCAACCCCCCGGCAGGTCCAGGGGCCACCCGGGATCCTCTGGGATCCACTCAGTGGCTCTCCGGGATCTGTCCTGGGGCCACCCGGGATCCACCCGGGATCTGCCTGGGATCTGTCCTGGGTCCATCCGGGATCTGTTTGGGATCTGCCTGGGATCTGTCCTGGGTCCATCCGGGATCTGTTTGGGGTCTGGCCTGGGTCCATGTGGGATCTGTTTGGGGTCCAGCCTGGGTCCATGTGGAATCTGGGATCTGCCCAGGGTTTGGTTTGGGTCTGCCCAGGATTGGTCCTGGGATCTGTTGGGGATCTGTCCTGGGTCTGTCTGGGATCTGGCCTGGTTCCATCCAGGATCTGTCTGGGATCTATGTAGATTCTATCTGGGATCCGCCTGGGATCTACCTGGGGTCTGTTTGGGATGTCTGGCATCTGCCTGGGGCTTCTCCAGCATCTGTCTGGGATCTGTCCTGGGTCCATGTGGGATCTGCGTGGGGGATCTGTCCTGGGTCCACCTGGGATCTGTCTTGGGGCCATGTGGGTTTGGGTCTGTCCTGAGATCCGGTCTTGGACCTGTGTGGGATCTGTCTGGGATCTGTCCTGGGTCCATCCGGGATCTGTCTTGGGTCCACGTGGGATCTGTTTCGGGTCTGCCTGGGGTTCGGTTTGGGTCTGCCCAGGATTGGTCCGGGGATCTGTCCTGGGTCCATTCAAGGTCTGTCTGGGATCTGTGTAGATTCTATTTGGGATCTGTCCGGGATCCCTTTGGGATCCACATGGGGTCTGTTTGGGATGCCTGGGATCTGTCCTGGGGCCATCTGGGATCTGCCCAGGGCCATGTGGGATCTGTTTGGGATCTATCTTGGGGCCATATGGGATCTGTTTGGGATCTGCCTGGGTCCATGTGGGATCTGTTTGAGGTCTGCCCAGGGTTTGGTTTGGATCTGCCCAGGATCGGTCCTGGGATCTGTCTGGGATCCATCCAGGATCGGTCCTGGCTCCATCTGGGATCCGTCCAGGACCCACCCAAGGTCTCACCCGGGATCTGTCTGGGATCTGTCCTGGCTCCGCCCGGGAACTGTCTGGGATCTGTCCTGGATCCGCCCCGGGTCTGCCCAGGATCCACCCAAGGTCCAGGATCCGTCTGGGATCCATCCTGGCTCCGCCCCGCCCCCCCGGTGTCTGGGTCATTTT